CCTTGACAGTTCCAAGATAGGATCTTCATGGCGCCTTGGTGGCTGATTGAGGCCAGCCACCTGCACCTTCAGCATACAAATTCCTTCTTCTCCTACCCCCTTTCGCTTTAAAGATAAAGCTAGCTTCTCCAGAATCTACGTTATCCTCCCTTGACATAATGGTATCCTCTTCTAAATCAATATTATCAGCCTCTAGTATGTCAGATCTCCCCTTTTTTCTTGTCCCCTTACGCATTTTAGCCTTAATTTTCCTGAGATTATTAGCAAACATAGAGATCTCAGGAGGAGGTTCCTTTTCAACTGTCAAACACCTTCTTCTTTTAACCATCTCAGGTTCAACGCTATCAGAGGCTTCTCTTTTGATGCCAAGCACCTTCAGTTTACACACAATCTCACTGTATACTGTGCCGATATATGGGACAATAGCCATGGGGTTAGGATCCACTTCTAAGGAAGTATCAACAGTAGAATCTTGTTTCTTGGACAATGGGGAGCCCAAAAAGCCAGTGTCAAGGTCCACAACCTTGCCAGATGGGTCCTTGAGTCCGCTAGGTCCAGCATCATTCAAAGCAGTTCTAATTTTAACACCATTTAATCTCATCTTATCAGAATTGCCATCAATCTTTGATAAAGGTATACGGTTAGTAACAGTACTATCAAAATCATCACAGTTATGTACAGGCACCTCCACTATCCTCTCGTTATTTCTACTTTTATTCAGATTTATGCTAAACAAATCAACATTACCAGGGTCAAGATTTTCTTTATCACTCTTCGGAGAACCGCCTTGACGTCTACGAAGAGCCTCTTCCTTCTTTTTCAAAGCAATCCTCGCCTCTGACCAGTCCTTCTTTACTACCACAACAGCTTCATCCCAACTACGACATAGACTAGTCGAAAGCCAAGCACCATAACGAGGTTCATCTGGATTATAGACCGATCTCAGTCTATCAATTCTGCAAGCACGATGATCATGCCCGATCCTACCACAACGAAAACAAAAGTTCTGCAGTTTCTCATACTTCACAGATATCCACACGTTAGTTCCATCTGGTTTTGGCATCCAAAACCCGTATGCTAAGGCTTTCCTTAGATCCAGTATCACTCTGGCTCTCAAGAAGCTCCGAATACATCTGTCATTGAGTCTTGGATCCTCAGCCATCACAACTTCACCGACGTAACCTCCAATCGTAATCGCATTCTCCAAATACATCGCCTCTAATGGAACATTATGCAGTTGGATCCATACAGGACAGAATCCAAAGTCGAACTCCTCAACTGACTTATACTTCGACCGCTCTTGAAGGCAGAGTAAGTTTCCGTTTATCGACCACGGTCTTCCTCGAACAATTCTATCAAATTCTTCCGTCTCAGCAAAACGGAAAATAAAAGCATTCTCTGCAACTTTTTTATGGACTTTGATAACACTAAATTTACATATAATAGCACATCGGTGGTCTATATATATAGATAATAATCAATTATGTCATGCTGAGATTATTGGAGAACATGTAAACACAAGACCACATCTAATTATCTATTAGACTCATCAGCATATATAAATTATACACTTACTTGCAAAAATCATATATTTGTATATTATGCACGACATGAAAAATATGAAAACAAAAACATATAAGCTGTTGTTTTTATCATCATCATCATCGTTATATTACTACTAATTATTATAAAAAGCAATAAATAAATGCTTGACTTATAAAATTTATAATTTGATTTAATTCTGACCTACAGTCAAAATGATAATTAAGGAGAAAATTAGACGGCGCATATTATCATTATAAAAATGACAGAAATACTAATTACTTAAGATTAAAGGAGGACCTTTTATATATATATATATATATATGCACAAATAGTAGTTACTCAATAATGTATAAATGTGATTGACCATCCAATTATTTATTAATTATATACAAGGGCAAAATATCATTAGTACGTCTAAGAATGGCTATATACTTAAGTTGCTTCGTCTATAAGAGAACAACACAGAAAAATCCAAATCCATATGCAATAAGTAGAAAGAGCTTACTTGTGAACTTTGCACAAATTAAATATTCAATTTTCTTAATCATAAATTCCGAATTAATAGACTCCTGGGGAAGGAGGACATAATTTTTTTAAGTTGACTATTTTTTTTTTTTAACTAGCTTTAGTTGTTGAAACATCTATGAATAATATTGAAGAATTAATGGGAAAAAGCAATCGCACACGAATTTCTTAACTTGGAAGATTAAGGAAAATGAAACTTAACCAAACTTTTAAATGCTTCAATTTGCCACTACTCACTAGACAAGCGTCTCGGAGGAGAGCGGCTTCTTTATTACTCCTCCGGTCCTAATTATAAGACCCAATTGACTTATTTGAGGAGATTAAGGAAGTAAGTTAAGTTGGTTATTTATAATAAATAAGTGTTGTTATTCCTAAAATATCTTTGCTAATTAAGTATATTGGCTAAAACTATCATTATTCGAAGGATTATCTTGGAAAAAAATACATAAATATAAGAGAGAAAATGGATTGGGTCTTATAATTAGGACCAAATAAAAAGTCAAATTGGGTCTTATAATAAGGACCGGAGGAGTATTATAATTGTTATTATTATTATTATTATTATTATTAAACAAACAACTCAAATAATCTCACAGTATTATAGTTAACGCTCATTATCGTTAACATTTTAATTTGTAGATAATAGAAGGTCTAAACTACTTTAGACTTTATCCACTGAAAGCATTAGAATGAACATGACCTAAAATTCTTTTTATCTTATTAACGATTTATTACGTACTATTCATCAGATATTATTGGATATGTTTTTGCTGTTGATAGCAATTGAAAAAAATAATTATATTGTTCATGACTTATAAATAACATATTTTAATAAATATATTGATATAATAATATAATTAGAACCCAGAGGAGATGGGTTGTCCATGCATCAAACATGGCCAGTGTGAAACTTGGTGTATTTTATAATTAGAATAAAAAAATAAAAAACGTTATGCTTTTAAATTAATAATAAAATATAATTATTTTTAATTAACAATTACATAAATATTAAAAGACTAAAATTTCCTGTAGTATTTCTATTCAATGCACCAGCCAAACGTCCTAAAAAAGTGGTAAAGACTATGGCACGACATGCTAAAGTCATTGAATATAACGGATGCCATATAACTTACAATATTCATAACGTGCAAAAAATAATAAAAAAAATTAATGGTCGCAAAACCAAATAAGCAATTATTAGATCTTCAATAATATAATAATTATTATTACTATTTTGGCCAAAAAAATATTATAATGGAATGCATTATTATTTTGTCTGGCGGGAGATAATGAAATCTGATTAGCCAAGGTGGGCTGTTATGGGGGGTTTGTTAGGGATAATGTGGCTGTGGACCGTTGGATGCTCACCAAACAACGAAAGCCACCGGATGCATCGTACGGCCTGATTTATATGATTTTTATTTTATTTTATATTCAAATGAAATCCCATGCCCAGGAACAAGAATCAGCCTTCACAGATTGTGTTGTTTAATTTATGTTATTACATCAAGATCATATTATTCCATTTTATGTCACCCTTATTTTGGCATTTTCCTTAATTAACTCTTTACCCTCTCTCTAAAGTTAAACATGGTAATAGTAGTTTTAGGCTTTTAATTCATTAATTGTTCTAAGTGAGCCTTATTTCAAATTTAATTTGTATAATATTAACATTTTATTTAACTTAATATATATATAGATGCGAAGATAGTACAATTTTTTTTAAATTTATTTTTAAATTTGGTCTATATCGATCTTTATTTGTACTGTCCATGACTTATTATCAACTTTTCATTCATTTGATATTTGATGTTAATATTAATATTAACTGATACTCTCAGCCCAAAAAAAATATATTAACTGATATTTATTTAATGATAACGATGAATTCACAATTTGAATTATGAAAATTAATTAAAATTTTAGTCCAAAAGTTAAGCAAAATAAAGTAGCTAATCTGACTGTATAGGTTGGGCATGATCTTAAAATTTGATGTGAAGCTTTTTCCAACCAAAAAAAAAATTGATGTGAAGCTTTGCTCTATAAACTTAAAACGGATTATATGAATGTTGAAAAAAAAAAGTGTGATTTCCCTCAGCTCATGAAATCGAAGCTTATACACACACGCATGCTCCAATCCTAAATGTAAGACTCTTATACATATTTATATAAGGGTTTTATATTTAGGATTGAAGGAGTATATATATACAAGACTAAAGTATATTCTTAGTTATTTAAATTTACACAAAGTTTCAATTTAGTTCTTTAATTTTGAAAAGTATAATTTTAGTTTTTTAACTCTAAAATTGTTAATAAAAAAAATGATGATATTGAGATTTTGAGTATTGATAAAACATTCCCAAATACAAACATATTAAGTTTAATTTTTAAAATAATTATAATTGTTTCAAAAAATTATTATTTAAAATTAATAATTTTCAAATTAAAAATTAAAAATATGTTTTTTAAAGTTAGGGACAAAACTCAAAATCTTGAATTAAAAAAAAAGAAGCAAATATATGCTTTAGCTTATTAAAAATAACTGTGATCATGAACAGAGAAAGTTCTCAGGGGGCAGTTCCTTCACCTCGTTAACAACTGAATAATGCTAAGAATGATGCCACTGTGGTGCTTCATGCCCCCTTGGGCCGTACCAGCGAGATTCTCTTCTTCTTCCCCCTCCTCTCAGTCAATTCATGCTCTTTCTCCTTTCCCATAAATAAAGGCCAAAAGCAAGAACATCACATTTTCACCTTCGTGATTTCTCTGTTATTTATATTTATATTTTATTCGTTCACATCTTCTCTTTGATATTGAGAAATTCTCTCCCACTCTTCAAGCAAACCACCTTCAAAGCTTCCACTTTTTGCCATTCTCTGTCCCTATCTACCTCTCTCTTTACTGGGTTTCTGTGCTATTGTTGGTATCAGCTTCTAAATGGGGTTTTCCCAAGAAACCTGCACTGACTCCTGGGAGTCTTCGAATCCACAAAATGCTCCTGATACAGTCACCGATGACTACTACGACTATAACAAGCTCAAGTTCAGAAGCACTTGGAGAAAAATGCTCTGGATGATTGGGTCTGCCTGTATCTCCCTGCCTCGCCGCCGGCGGAACGCCGGGGTGATGATTCAGGGTCAAGGCAAAAACAAGGCGTGGCTACTGGCGGAGTCCGGCGGTTGTCCGGCGGAGTCGACGAATGCCGACCCACAATCGGTTCACTCATCTTTCAGGTTCAACATATGTTCTCAGGTTGAGCTGGAATCTTTGGAAATGAGTTCTTCCGCTGCTGCGACAGTCTTGATGGTGAATTTGGATAATGGGGTGAGTGAATCTGGAGCTCGGGAGCTAAAATGGTGGAGAATAGATTCATTGAATAAGAGCATATTGCCAGTGACCAATACTCTGATCAGATTCAACTACAGTGAAATCCTGTCTGCTACCCAGAATTTCTCCAAAGGTAATCAAATCTTTCTGGGTTGCTCTATATGAACCACTTGATAATCTTGCCATGTTAAGTCAGATTTTTCTCATTTTATATTAGATTGTAATTCATTGTTTTGTTATATGGGTAGGCAGAGTATTGGGAAGAGGGGCGTTGAGCTGTGTTTTCAGAGGAAAAATTGGACTTCTGAGGAGTGCCGTGGCAATTAAGAGACTGGACAAAGAAGACAAGGAGTGCGCAAAGTCATTCTGTAGAGAACTGATGATTGCTAGCTCTCTTCACAACCCAAACGTTGTTCCTCTTGTGGGGTTTTGTGCTGATCCAGAGGAGGGTTTGTTTCTGGTCTACAAATTTGTCTCAGGAGGCAGCTTAGAGCGCCACTTGCATGGTGCTTACTTATCTCTGACTCTTTATTTCATGTGGGTTTGTTTCATTTGAGATTGACGAGTTTCACTGACTCATGTATACTTACATTCATACCTGTTCACAGGGAAGAAGAAGGGTGTAAAGGGAAATTCACCACTGCCTTGGTCTGTGAGATATAAAGTTGCAGTTGGGATCGCCGAAGCAATCTCTTATCTGCATAATGGAACTAAAAGATGTGTTGTTCACAGAGACATTAAGCCCTCTAACATTCTTCTTTCCTCTAGAAAGTCTCCCAAGGTTAGATGGTTCCTTGGATATCAGATTTAGTCTAATATCATTTGCAAACTATTTCAGGATTTTGATCTCTGCCAATAGTCTTTGACACTTGAGTCTGAGTTAGATCATACAAGTGATCCTGATGGATTGTTTTGTTATATTACAGCTATGTGATTTTGGATTAGCTACATGGACTTCAGCACCTTCGATTCATTTCCTTTGCAAAACGGTTAAAGGAACATTTGGGTAAAAACTTGACTCCTCTTAAATATTCTGTCAACGTTTTTACCATTTTTTCGTTTTGGAAGATTTGTTTTCTTGTTCCACTTGCTGAATCAGTTTCTTTCTGGGCTTCTGTTTTCTCCCATATAGCTATTTGGCTCCTGAGTATTTCCAACATGGGAAGGTGTCAGATAAGACTGATGTTTATGCTTTTGGAGTGGTGTTATTGGAACTCATAACTGGTAGGAAGCCCATTGAAGCAGAAAGGCCACCAGGAGAAGAGAATTTAGTCTCATGGGTAGGTTAATTCCTTGATTCTTGAAAACTTGTGCTGGTTTGTGATTAGGTTATGGTTGAACCGATTCTTGAAATGGTTTGTGGTTGAGAATAACCGGAAAATCATAACTTGCAAGCACAAGCTAGGTCCTATACTGTGCCGCTCATTGACTTTGAAGAAGCCAATGATGTCTATTTGCCATCAGCTCCTAACGTCAGCATCATTAGCCTATATAATAACCTACCTGTTCATAATTGCTATGAGAAACTGACAGAAAATACTGAATATTGTCTAAAAGTCAGCTTATAAAAAATAATGATGGTCAGGTTGATGTTTTAAATTTTGTCAATGGAAAAAAATTATACTAGAAGAGCTACCTTTAATTTGAGCCTAACAATACTTGAATATGTATTGGTCGTAGTACAAAATAATTCCACTGAAAATGAAAATCATCCCATCACAGAATCTGTAATCGATTACTAGTTTAAATTCCCCCCCCCCCCAAAAAAAAAAAAATCTTTCTTGTTAAAAAAGACTGGTCACCTTGAATAGATGCGAAAAATGGTATATATGAAGGTTGAAACTTAGAAGATTAGATAAAAAATGTAGGAAACAAAAAGGCATATACTTTATCATTATTTTGGCTTGTTCTTTAATATTTATCATGTTACATCTCTGAGTAATACCTTTCTTTGGTATTAACACTGTTCAATAATAGTTTGGCTACTAAATGTTGTCCTTTTTTAATCACAGTTGAGCCTTGTTGACTCATATCTAGTCTGGCTTTCTTTGGCAGGCTAAACCATTGCTTCAGAAAGGGAAAGAAGCCACTGAAGAACTGCTTGATCCTCAACTCAATTACACCTTAAAATCCTCAAACCAGATATCTCGTATGATTGAAGCTGCAGCAGCCTGTGTCACAAACGAAGAATCTCGCAGACCCGGCATTAACGAGATCATCGCAATCCTGAAAGGTCAAGAACCAGTCTTCTCTAAAAGGAGGAAGCCATCTTTCCGTGTTAATGGATCCGTATTTGATTCTTATACTCAGTTACAAGAAACAAACACAGAGATTAAAAGTCACTTGGCTTTGGCTATGTTGGGCATTTCAGAGTTTGAAGATGATGATTACCTCTTTGGTCGCTAAAACATGACAGCTTAGAAATATTTAAGTGGACTTGACATGCTGAAGACAGATAGACTAAACTAATCATTAGTTAAACTGCAAAAGTTTATAATCATATCATTGGTTTAGTCTAATGATAATTTTGTAAATCAGGTATGCTTACGAATCTGCCTTTTTTTTTTAAATTTTTTTGATAGGATTAGATGTGGAAAAGTGTTGACCTTTTGTATATAGATAGGAGCTCAAAGGAAGATTGTTGGGTTTATATCTTCCATTTGTCCTTTTGATTCTCTTAAAGGGTGGAGTGTGATGGCTTTTTCTTTGTTTTTTTTTTTTTTTTGGCTTTTTTCCTTTTGGTCGGAAGACTTTTATTTGTACGAGATTGTTGTAAGTTGATGGTTCTGAAGCATTCATGTTTAAGAATGAGTAGTGGGATTTTCATTTCACAGAAGAGTCAAGAGATGTTCCAATAACATGTAATGACCGTAAAAGAGAGAGAGAATTTCATTATTGTGTACGGCTTAAGGACATTAGGAATCTTAACACGTAAGAATTTTTAATTAATATTCAAACTCGTTTCTTAATCATGTTTACGAATGATTACACATATCGAAAGCGAAGCGAAATCTTTAAAAAGCATTAAGCATGCTCCTTTATTTAATAATTTTAAAACATAAGTAAATTAATTTACAACTTCTTATGCTTTCATTTAATTTTTAATCAAGTCCTTGTACTCCACTGCTCTTTAATATATATAACTTAATTGTTGAGTTGGTTTTGGTTCTAAATATAAGACCTATTTCTCATATTTATCAATTTTCTATAAATTACCCTTATAGATACTCCCTCAATCATAATTAAGTAGAAGAAGGAGAGGGGGTATCAAGAAAGATGATTATGGTATTTTAGGAAAAACATGTCATATTTCTTATAATTAACTAACTCACCTAACTTCTTTAATCTAATCAAATTAGTTAAATGAGTCTTATATTAAGGACTAGAGGAGTAGTTTTTATGTGACTCGTAAAGTGTACAAAAAACCTAATTAAAAATTAGATAAAATTATATAGACCTATGAATTAATTTTTTTTCTTGAATTAAAATATGAGCATGTTAATTTGTTCTCTCATTTAATATTTTAAGACATAAAATGACCTTAGAATTGAGACTCCATGTAAGAGTTGAGACCCCATTGAGAGCACACAGCAAGGGTCTGTTTAGCACAGCATTTTGGGAGGAAAAAGTCATGATTCAAAACCTAAGAGCAGGTTAATGGTTCAGCTTCTTATTTGGTTGTGCAGTAACTTTTAAGCCAAAAGTTAATCTCAATTTGTAAAAATTATAAGTTATTTTGATTACTTATAAAAGAAAAAAAATGCTTTTTAACCGGGGAGGGAAGAGAAAAAAATCATAGAAAAAGAAAAGAGAAAAGTTTTTATGAGTCCCACTTACTTCAATGAAAAAAAGATGATAAAACCACTCAATTAAATACTATTGCTATTTATAGGTTACTTATATTCCAAACTCACAAATTAAAAAAAAACTAAATTGGTAATTTTTCACGTTTGCCCTTATTAAAGAAAGGTATTAAAAATATGTTTATACTTTATCTCACCAATTTACTTCTTTTTTTCTATACATTTATTAAGTCAATATGGATAAAATTGGAAAAAAACAAAAAAAGCCTGTCAATTTTATGCTACCCGTAACTTCCCGTAATTAAGAACAAACTTTTTTTTTCTTTGATAAATGACTTTGAATAGAGTGGTAAATTGAAGCTTGCAAAAGTGTTCTGAGAAGAAAAATTATATTATATAAATTGATAATTTTTCATTTTCCATTATGTAGTAAAAGTTATATCTATTTTGGTAGTTTTACAAACTAAACTTACTTATTTAATTATAACCCAAACAACTTTTATGTTTACCAAATCTAACTTTTTCAAAAGTAAATCCAAATATAAATCATATTATCCAATTTAACTTCTACCCAATCTAACTTTTTTAAAAGCAAAATTAAAAATAAGCTATTTTTTCTATCTTCAATACAAATGGGTGCTAAAGTGTTATTTAAGTTTTGACCAAAATAAAAGGAAAAAAAATAAGTGGTATTAGGTGCCGATTGTTTTATTCGACCAAACAAGTGCTCAGTTTTTTTAAGTCTAACCAAATTTTCCATATGCGTAATTGTCAACTAAGGACAACGATCCTTCAATATTATTTCTCCAACTGGAGGCTCAATGGCTCATAGTGTGACAATGTTCCTAGGGACGATTTTTTCTTTTTAGAAAAGCTCTAACTTTAATAATAATGGCCATTTGTTATTATACAGATCATACATGAAAAATAATTGACGACCGAATTTAAATAAATTTTTTATATTTCCCACTTTCTCACCTTTTAAACTTCTTAACCTTACAATAACAAATCAATTTTTAAAACAGAGTAATTTAAGATAGTTGTTAATTTCTTTTTAATATATTATTGTTTTACATATGAATTTTCTGATTTATTTTAAACTTCATTATGAACCTTTAAGAGCAGAACGATGACTAATAATTTTCCCATACCGCATCATCAACCATTTAATAAATAATTTACTTAGGCCTAACAGAAAAGACATAAGCGTATCAATTAACATTATATTTTAATTACATTTTTAAAATATTGTTTTCTTTTTCCTTTCAACAAATTTTTAATAACAACCATGTGCCTTTTTTTTGTACTGCTACACATTATTAACATTGCATAAATAACGCAATGATAATCCATATAACAAAAGATTCAAAAAATATTTATATCACAGGTATTCTTTCTTTTAAAGATGTCATAACATAAAGGAAAATGATTCTTTTATGTATGGAAATCTCAAGCAAGCATATGGAGCGTAACATTTTGCAAGCTTAACTTCAATGCATATTTAAGCTAACCACACCAAAGTCACTTTTTCAAGCAAAACTAAAATGAAAAAAAAAAATCCAGAAGTAATTGATGAATTAGAAACCATGGTTTGAGAAAAAACTGTACGGGCCTGTTTGGGTATCCCAAAACCGTGGTTTCAGAAGCACTTTTCCGCAAAACGAGATAATCTCCTCCACATATTTACTTCGTAATCCGTAAAAACACTTCTGAAATCATGATTTGGTTTCTATCCAAACACACCCGTATTAATCAGCTCTTGAGGAAACGTATTCTTCAATATCATCCCCCCCAAAAAAAATCCAAACATGCTAAAATCAAATTAGGTCCTTTCGTCAATTTAGTCATATTATAATACGTCTATATCTAGACACAAGAAAAAGAAACCATGTGCAAGAACCACGTTATGTTTTGTTACCAACTTCTTAAAAAAAATAACTACATCTTCCAAGTCTCTAGGTCAATTATTACTTATGTATTTATTTATTTTTTCTTTTTTTGGGGGGGGGGGGTGTTTTGGAGTTGGATTGATGTGTGGAATGAGATCTGTATTATTGAGTCTGGAACATGACCAACATGCTATCCCAATAAATTGTAAGCAGCAAAATGAAGAAAAAGTATTGTTTCAAAAGAAGCAAGCGACAAATGATAGGACACACCAACCAAAAACTTGGTCTGAGTCTGACCATTCTTAAACAACATGAACAGGAAATGTCCAAAGTCACTTTCCATTAAATTCCAACTACTACTGTCGGTGCTGCTAAAATGTGATATATTACGACCAAGAAGATTGAACAATATATCCTGTTTTGGCACTTTGTGAAGCTAATAGAATATGCAACTTGCTATTAACCAGGGGTGTAGGTAAGGACTAACATATTCAATCAGCAGGCATGTTCATATTGGATACTGATGAACCGAACTTGAGGTAGTAGATGTATGATGAAATTTCATATCACATAATTAAAAGATCGATCACAAATTCACAATTATGTAAGTGTGTGGTGACTAGTGAGTCCATCTAAAATATAACTTAAAAACTATTTTGGCCCAGGTGACATACCTTAGGTGTGATTAATCTTTTCTATAAGGTAGCAATTCTGTTCACAAGGAAAACCAACCCATTTAAATACCCTATATAATAGTTCCTACAAACTGGGCATTTTATGTTACTGCTATTACATTAGTCTTCATTAAATATATTTTTGATAAAACGTGTACGATATACTTGCATATGAGCGAACGGAAGACAACATTTGAATGTGCCAAACTGCAGAGGGCTTGGATGGTGTGAATTACAACCGGAGACGAAAGAGATTATTTGAATACCAGAAACGACCGAGGAGGCCTAATGTCCTACAGTACAAATACCTCCAAGAAGAGAACTTTTTTGATTAACTCAACTCAGCTCACATAGTGTTATGGTCTAGATCATCCAAGAAAATTGGGTTTGGTTTGGGCCACAATGGTTGTTACACATAAATAACCCATTCTCTCAACCAAAAGTGTTAATGCGTTGGTATATACACACTCACGTATTTGTGAAGTTAAGCTGTCATTGTATCAGTGCTTTCAGTTTTGTTGAGCCCTTGCCTTTAGACATACGGAAATGAAAGGACGCCGTGTAGACTACAGAGAGTAAATTGTGGATGAAAGAAAAGTTAATGATTCAGATACTCCGAAGGAAGCATCAGCAAAATATAAAATGTAAATAAGGTAGAAGTTGCACCGTTAATAAGTTATGAACAGCGGAGCTCATCTTGAACCGTGCAATTACACAGAGCACACTCTAATTCGGCATATAGCAAAAGCTGACGCTTAAAAAACGCATGTTGAAATGAACTAACAGGCTGGCAGGAATCCAGGTCCAGTTCTTTATTCAGAGATATGACACAAGTATGATCCCTGCCTATTTATTGAAACAAAATTGTTCTAATCTACACACAAAAGCCACTAGGTGAAGAATTCGCAGAAAGTAGTGAAAATGCCTCATTGCTTAGAGAGAATAGGTTGTAAATTTAGAAGACTGACTGACGCATCGCATTGAGGACAGCTTCCCTTGTAGGCAAAGCTGGTATTGCACCTCTCTCCGTCACGGTCAATGCTCCACATGCATTAGCGAACTTGAGAGCATCTCTCAGTTTTTCCTCTTTCTGCGGGTTTAAACCACAAATAAATCCTGATGAAATTACACAATCCAGACGGCATCTAAAATGCAGAAATGAAATTACTCTTTTTTGGATTACAGTAAAAATGAGACTACTGAATTAATGTAATATATTAGATACGGACGAGCATTGTCATTAAAGATGGAGACAAATGCAAATAGAGTGAGAAAATTTAAGATTGACCTTAAACCTGGCTTGAGAAAAGGCAAAAAATACAAAAAACAAAAACAAAAAAGGAAGAAGAAGGAGGAAACCGCTTAGTATTTTTCAATTGATATATAATCCATCAGTTGCAAATATTTCAGTATTATATCCTGACTATGCGCAAGAGTACCAAATAAACGGAGGAAACGCTAAAATATAAGCCAGCTTGATAAACTAAAAGTAATTATGTTGGTATCTGTAGTTACCACTTGCTATAAGTGATATTACATGCACAGTTAACTGGGGCATTGATCATTGGCACCTAATTCTCAGTTGTATGTGGACTTGTGCGGGGAGGTATTTTAACAAAAGCCATTTTAATTGTTTTTTCTTTTCAAATTTCCCCCCAAGTGGCAGGCATAAGCTGATAACAATAAGACCTGCACATACTGTGCAAGAAAAAATAAAGAAAATTCTTTTTGAAAATTCAAATAGTAACTGAGATTTCACATGACATGGATTTCTAAAAATGTCAGATTAAACTTTTGGAAATTAGAAGTGAGAGTTTTTTGGCAAATTCATACAGCATGTGAAGGGCATAGGAGGAAAATAAAGCCTAATAACATAATCACAAAATTTGTTTATTGTTTTCACAGACACGACCTTTAAATGTATCATTATATTACGTATAAGTAGGAACCGTCTTCCTCAGTTTAGGGCGAATATTAGAATAAAGTACGTGATCAAGCTGGTCATTATGAGGCATTAAGTGCTTTTTCTTTTTAATGCATTTATTGAACAACTTGGCTATAAAACAACATTGCTCTAACCACTACCTGAAATCCGGTAAATACTTCAGTCTTTAGCTTTGCTATATAGAATATTGAAATCAATAATTCTATCTTCACCTCCAACACCGACTCACAGGACACTCAAGAAAGCTAAAACGTAAGAAAGGAAAAAATGAAACTGATTCATTATTCCATTTTATGTGGGGTTTCTCTTTAATTTTCGTTGGGGTTTCATGATGCCTAACAAATACCTGGCAAACAAGACTACGTTTGTCAAGAAAACATTGCCATCAAATTAGCTCTCAGGATGATGATCCGCTCATTTTTATTCAATATGTGGGTTTTGATAAATGGGTTGTTTTATTAACAAAAACACCTTGCCTACCTGAAGCAAAGAAAGATCTACAGCTAATTGTGATAATATTCCAGCCACAAAAGCATCACCAGCACCAGTAGTGTCAACAGCATCCACCTTAAATCCCTTGACTCTACCACTGAACTCCTGCAAAAGGAGGGGTATGAGAGTTTTCAAATGATTGTTACCAAGAACTTGTAGTAACTAGACAGACAGTGGTTAAATGAACTTTTTTAAACGCTTCTAAGTTAGAAGTTTAGTCACATGCTACGTATTGCATATTCAAAGATCTGCACCAACTTGATAATAATTAATCAGATACTGTTTTGGTAGATGGAAAAATCAGTCAACTTTTTTGCATAAGGGTAACGTTTGGGCTTTTGTTGACCAATAAGCATGTCAAAAAGATTGATTCATTTATTTTGCTAATCAGTTTCACATCTTAAGCTGGAAGGAAAAAAAAAAAATATATATATATATATAACGATACTGTTTGTGCAGCAATAACTTGGTTGCTCACCATCAATATCCTCCTCATTCATGATTTTGAAGATAAGTCAGAGGATGTTTGCCAAACAATGTTGGGCAGATAAGTTGAGGAGCATTGTAGAAGCAAGCATCTTTGGAAGGCTTACCTTGGTGTAATACCTGCAACCATCTGGACCTTCTGTAACAAGCAGTAACTTGAGGTTTGGATGGAATAGTTTACGAACAACAGCATCATCATAGGGATCTTCTCCTTTTGTAAGGAAAGAAATCTCTTCTTCACTTATCTGAAAATAATTAATCAGATTTTTGATCAGTACAGATGATGCTGCTTCTCTGTTCCCCTGAAGTCTGCATTCTAGAAAAGGAAACAAGAACAGCCCACTGTGAACTAAAGGATATATGGTAATATATTGAGCCCTACTGATAGGCAACAAACCTTAATGATATCTGCTGTCTCCCATATACTTAGAATTCCTTCTCTGGCACTTTCAGCAGAAGGCCATAAAGGAAGCCTCAGGTTAGGATCATAAGACAAAATTACATCAGCATCTTTTGCAGCCTTTGCGGCTGCTATGTGTGCTGATTTGCATGGATCTGTAATTAGACTTATAGAACCATAATGGAATATTTTGGCCTGCCAGAAAGTAATAATAGACCAATATTAATATAATAAATTAATGAATCAAATTGAAGAGCTAAGCGGACAACATCAACAGGAAATAGATATGGAAAAACATGTTGCCATTTTACGTAAACTTCAAGAAACCAGAAGGGGGTAGTTAAACTAATGCTGTCTCAATCAGAATGACCTCAATAGCGAGAGTGGCATGGTTACCTTTTTTATTAAGCCAAAATCAAGTTCAGCTTCTTGAAGCAACATATCAGCACTAGGATTACGGTAAAACATGAACTCTCTATCTCCATCTTTCCTCAAAGTAACAAATGCCAATGCAGTACGTGCACCAGGGTCAAAACGCATCCCTTCATTGATTACATTGTTTTCTTTCAATATATTGGCAAGCATGTAACCAAATTCATCCTCACCAACCTGGTAAGTACAATGGAGCATTAGACTGCTATTAAATATGGCAGAGAAATCTTTGGTCTGACCTCTAAGTTATGGAGTAGATTATTGCTCAGAGATTCAGTATATTTTAAGGCTGAGTATCCATAGATAAAAATTATATTTATCCATTAACAGATTAAATTGAATTCTAGGGTTCCTAGCTTCAATTTAAGATGGATGAACTAAGCTAACGTAGCTACAGTCATCTACAAATGCATATATGATTCTATTATTATGTGATCAGACGAGCACCAGAGATTCAAATCTTGTAATCCAGGGCTGCCTACAATACTTCAATATATGCTCATTAAGTTCTAGAAACAGTAAATAACAACTAACCAAGATAATAAAGTCCTGGGAAAATCTTATGATAATCCATACCTAGCACTACAAGTTTTCAACAGTCAAGGCTGAGAATCAGCTGTAAGAGCATAATCATGGGAAAACATTTTTTCTCAGTACATGAATAAAAATTCATTGTGTCGCATATTATAATATTTTTGTTACTATGCAATCAGACACATTGTCCTGCGCCTATGCATTGTTGAGATGATTCACATTGGTAACTGTGAAAAGTGCAACTTACAATAGATTTTGTAATTAATTAGTATATTGATTCTTGTATAAAGGGACTATTCAGTTGACCAGCAGTAAAAGGGATGAAGCTTTAGGGCATTTCATGCCTGACGGTTAAATTCATAAGCTTACAGACAGGAACCCCACAAAAAGGTAAGTTAATACAGGCTTTATATCTCAATCACTAAAGATGACCGACTCACTATGTAAAAAATGGGAGGGAAATATATTATTCTTTGCATGCGTCGTCTGGCGGCAAGAGATGAGGAATCTTCAAGCAAGTTCAGTATCGGCTGTATGATTAAGTTTCAATAAAGGCTATATTTTTGTGATACCTTCCCAATAAAAGCCGATGAGCCACCTAAACGAGCTACGCCTACAGCAACATTAGCAGGGGCACCTCCTGGAGCCTTTTTGAATGCCGGTGCTTCAGCCAAGGAAAGCCCATTGGTAGTTGGAACAAAATCAATGAGCATTTCCCCAAAGCAAACCACAAGCGGCGATTCCTTTGTTTCAGGCGCCCCATCACCAGAATATGCATTCCCTAATAAAATTAACATCCCCAAGTGAGAAGTAGAAGCAAACAAGCACGTGAACTTGTTAAATTTAAAGCTGTTTAGAATCAGCTAACACCAGAATTATGCCAAAAATGAGGTTAGATAGTGCATTAGCTCTTGATCAGGCTCAAATTAAAGACATAACATGTGAAGTGCCATAATTCAAAATTTCGAATACCTTTGACCTTCAATCGGACAGTCAAAGGGGAAAGAGGGCAAGAAAACCCCGGTGGTTTGGCAGTGGGATGACCATACTTGACCGAATTCCGGGGTTGAGCAGGGACGCTTCTGAAGCAGAGAGTAGCAGAGTGAAGAGCCATGGAAGAAGAAACACTGACACCCCCAAGTGAATATTGACAGTTAAAAACGAATCTTTGACAGAATGACGATAGGGGTTTGATGAAAATGCATGCAGAGAAGGGATGGAAGATTGAAAATACTTTGGAAAGGCCGAAAGAGAATGCAAGGAGGGTGGATTACAGAGTCTTTGGCCTGCGTGCGGGTCTGCGAGTAACGGAATAAGCAAAGGGAGATGCTGTTCAGTTTAATAATAATCACTGGCAGTTGCTTATTGAGGCCGCAGTTTTGTCCTGCCTCTTGGACACTCCGCCGCGGTAACCAACTCTGCTATCATGCTAATCGAATTACAAAAATTAAAATATTGGTTAACATTAGTTAAAAATAATAAATGTTTCCAAATATATTATTATTTATGAAAAAGAGAAGTTACAAAGAATGTGTAATCATTAATATAGAAACATGGATTTAATAGGGATAAAAATATAAAGAGGAGTTTAAAACTCAAGACAAAAAATATTGCTCATACTTCAAATCAGAAAATAAAACTTCAGACAAGAAATCTTGCTTATATTTAAAATCAGAAAATAAAACTTCAGACAAAAAATATTGCTTATATTTAAAATCACAAAATATTGTTTATATATAGGATCGAACTTTTTAGTTGATTTCCTAAAGCCAATATTCGTCTAGACAGAGAGCAAATGAGTGTATTTTATTTTTGAATCTATCCTATTTTTATAAATATGAATCACTTTAAACTATTTCCTCTTTCCTTATTTATCTTGGCCTTGGGACATTTTTCTCCGTTAAAGTGAGGGATTTCTTAACAAATAATGTAAGTTAAATAATTAGTCGTACTTTAACTTACATGTTTTGCGTTTGGAAAAAAGCGAACCAAATGAACATAGTTAATTAATACTCATATTTATTTATTTTTAAATCTGTGTAAAATATTTTACCCACGCATAGGGAATTCCAAATACAATTCATATTGGCTAGAAACAAAAATTAGAATTGATATTTGGACTAATAAATATTTACTGAAAGAGGTGTTTATGTTCAGTAGTCGACAGAATCTCAAATAGAATTACTTATGATAATAGGATACCTGTGTCCAAATGGGGAAAAAAATAATTTGGGCTTTACAAGAATGGAAGATAAAATTTCAAACATTTTGGATCATTTGGGCCTTTGAACATGATTCCCGGATTGCGCAGGGAAGTCATTTTGAAAGATATTAGGCCCAAATGATAAGGTTACGCTCATATCAAAGAGATGAACCAAACTGGCAATGCTGTTTTTTTAAGCAAGCCCAAAAAAGATTTCTAGAGCCCCTTCAAACACATGCTGGCCCAAATTGCACCAAGAAAAATCAGGCGTAAAGTTGCACACACACGAAAAAAATCATCGATAAAATTGCATCTCTAAAAAGATCAAAAAATAAAATTATGGTTAAATTTGCCCATTTATTCTTAATTTTTTTTAAAAAAAGTAACTTTAGTCCATAATGGCATAAATCCGATTTCCGAGAAGTGTATTCCTCATAAACAACAAGTCTCAATTATAAAATACTGTATGTCACAATTAATGAACCGAAGCCCATTTGATCCGATATTTAATTCGTTTCACCTTTTGTTTTACCAGCAGGCCATAAGCTAAATAATCCCATTAAAAGAAAGAGAACAGAATAACATGAAGATAGCCCGCAAGGAAGAATATGAAGGATAAGTAAAACCCAAGTATGCCTTGTGCTTTTCTCTCTCCAATAACATTGGTTTGCTTGTGGAAGAGAGTCTTGGCTGAGCAGGTTATGTATGTCATGAGCTTAAAATTGACAATTGGAATTTCTTTTTTTTTTTGCCAGCCATAAAATAACTTAAATTGAAGGAGTATTTATTTATTTATTTATTTATTTTTGCTGGGCACTTGATGAGTAATTATTGAGGGAGATGGCAGTGTCGTAGATTGATTCAGCAGAGGCCGGGAAGCAGAGAGAGAGAGAGACATTCGTATTCATTAATCGTTATAAAAGCTTCGACTTTGACAGCAAAACAGAGCAACGCGTGGCAGTTTGTAAGTGGGTGGGCGGAAAGCTGGCTTTTCCTTGTTACCCAATCAACATGGCAATGGATTCAAAACTTAAACAAATGTTGGATACGAAGAAAAAAAAAGGGATAAAACACTCCTGTTATTTAATTATTAGTATTTGATGCGCAGATATAAAAGGACCCTCTATCCAAGATGAGAGGCGATAATGTAGACTCGGAGATGCAGTTTTTCAAAATTATGATTTATAAAATATGACGTCAGTAAATATGTAAGGTGAGTACTTACTTATATGAAAGTGTTTATAAATACTTAAAATAAACAAATGCAAAGAAACCCAACATAAGTTCCTCTCTTTCAATTTGGACTTGCCTGAAATATAAGTCTCGTTTGATATTATCAGGAACATTTAGTATTTATCCTCGTTGCGTAGAAACAAACTTTATGACCAATAGGAGTTAGTCTAGTTGGTAAGAAATTGGCTCATAATTCACAAAATTATGAATTTGAATCCTGCTATTAATGTGAGAACCTTATCAATAGGCGATCTATAAGTACTTTTGTAAGCGTTTTTTAAGCCTAGAGGCATATCCTGACCCTGGTGAGTTCCCGGACCCAACACACCTAAACTTTTTGTTAAAAAAAAAAGAAATAAACTTTATAAGTAAGTAATTAATTATAATTAATGTATTATTGACTTTTTCTATGTATTTGAAAAACTTTACATATTATTTACATATTTAATTTAATATAGGGATAAAGTGCAAAAGTTTTTATTTAAGACTGTCGAGCATCTAAGAGTTTTTTTTGGTTTAATGCCACATATTTCCAAATTGTAACAATGTCACCTTAGCCATTATATTGTTATTTGACCAAATATACTGGGCTGCTAGGTCCACTTGTCATTTGATATTTTTTTGAGTTAAAGTGTAAATTTGTCCCAAACGTTTTCATTCAATAGTGCTGAGTTTTTATAAGTTTTTTTAATTCAATATCATTATGAATGTTTACAAATCGTAACAACATTGCCTTAGCTATTATTTATGTTAAATTTGACTGTTGGTTGACTAGATATGTTAAACTAACAAATCACATGTCATGCACTTCATTTTTTCCAAGTTAGATTTATAAATAAGGAAAGAATCCCTCAATCTGCTTCTTTTTTTACTGTTCATTTTGTCAAGTCAACGTATTTGATCAGTTAATAGTCAAATTTAATTTTGATAACAGTCTAGGTGACATTGTTATGATTTGAAAATTTTCAGTATTATATTGAACAAAAAGAAAACACCTTGTGTTTCTAAGTAAAATCTTGACAAATTTATATTTTAACTTTTTAAGGTATTATTGACTTTTTCTTATTTTTAGGATGACATGGAAGGAAGGAAATGTAAAGGCCACCATGTGGGCACGTGAGTGGGAAGTTGACGTATTAAACGTCCTACCAAATAGCGTGTAACACATTAGGATGTGGCGGTTAGGTATTAACCGAGTCACTTCCACTTGCCTCGGCCTTCAATTATGGCCCATGAACCCTAACTTCGTGTGGTCCCCCACCCTCAATTAAGCCCTCAATCATGCTTCTTTGCAAGCTTGCAATCTCTAACATCATTTCATATCAAAGCTAAACCTGACTCCAATTTCGTATCTTCCCCAACTGGCTGGATCTCAATCCCCTTTTATATTATATCCCTCCATTTTGGAACTTAACTGCCTCTTCGTTTGATGCCTACTCATCTCTCATCACCATCCCACTAACATTCAACTCGGTTTTCCCACTGTTTTATTCCTCCTACTCCCACTCTTCTAATTTAGAGAGAATGTTCCGTTATCTTCATATTAGATGTGGAGATTGCTTTGATTCTAATTATAGAATCCAAATTCACTTTATTCTTCAACTTTTTATATTTTTTTTAAAAAACTCTTATTGATTACGCATATTAAAATGGATTTTTATCATAGGATAATTCTAATACACATGAATAAATATGATAGTTTAGGAAAACCAATACACTTTTATTATCAATAACTAACTTAACTAATTTATTATTCAGTTCTTATATTAAAAATCAGACATAATACTTCGGGCCTGTTTGGTGGGGTCTTTCACCATCCAAAAGGTAGCTTATAAGTGTAATAAGTCGGCTTATAAATTTGAAAGGTATTTGGAATGGCCTTTGATCAATCTGACTTATAGACCAAAAAATGTTTTTTTAAGTACAATTGTAAAAGTACTTAAAACTTACTTATAACTCATGCAAAAGCAGCCTTTTGAAATTAAAAGATATTTTTGTCCCTATATTTATATTGTTCTTATGCTTCTCTTTACATATTCATTGTACTTCTCAATTATTTTTTAGTTATTTATTTTTAATATTCTTTTAAGTGAAAATGATTTTAACGGTTTTTTATAATTTTTTTCATTTTTAATATTATTTTTATATTTTATTTATATAAATTGTGTAAAGAATATCATCTAATTAATTATGTAATATTATTTGATTAAAAAATTTTCACATTACTATAATTTCTAATTGAAATATATTTTATTGATTAAATATAACTTCTTCCTATTATGATAATTTAAAATTATTATATTTTGTAAATTCATGTTTTTAATTATTTTTATTATTTAATAAAAGTTATACTCATTTTGGTCATTCTACAAATTAAACTTACTTACCAAACAACTTTTTTACTTTACAAACTAACTTTTGTAAAAGCCAATCTAAATATAAATCATATTATTCAATCTAACTTTTATCTATTTTACTTTTCTAAATGTCATATTGAAAATTTTGACCCAAAAAAAAGTCATATTGAAAATAAGTTAATTTTTCTATCATCACTTCAAATAGACTTTTTGTTGAGGGATAATTTATAAGTACTTCTATAGACAATATTAACATCTAATAAAGCTCTTTTCCCAGTAAAAATTGTTTTCTCTAACATGCCCAACCCAAACTTGATGTACATATGCATGCACACACACATTCATAGTACTTTTCCGATTCTAAATATAAGACTATTATACACATTAGTATAAGAGTCTTATATTTAAGACCGGAGGAATAGTATAATAAAATAAAATCTGTGGTAAATCATGTTATTATGGATACTGTTCATCTATTTGATTTGGTAAAGCGTATGACCCAAATATCTCACTGTCAATATAGCAAAGCACAGGTTGTTTACACGAATAT